TGGTGGCCCTGGAAGGATTCCTGGTGGGATACCTCGGCAGGGAGAGAGGGCAAGCTCGGTGAGGAGCTGCAGCAGGGATTTCGTGGGCTGGTGCTGTGGCTGGAGGAGCAGGAGGGCTGCCAGGCGTTCCCTCAGTGCGGGCTGCAGCTCTGCTTCCTCGGGATGCCCAGACAGCACCTTGTCTGCAGCAGGGACAGTGACAGCCCTGAGTCCCCCTGGTTCACTGCCCAGGGAAAAGCCCCCGTAGGTGGAGCAGCAGCCTCACCAGGTGCCCATCTGTCATTCACCAGTGCTGTTCTACAGGCACCTCCTGGTCACCTGTCCCTCTCTGGGGACCAGCGCCTCCCAGGAGATGACCTCGACATTACCCACCTACCGATTATTTCCTTGAAACTGGTGGCATCCAGGTCCAGGAGCACCGTCCCCTTTTGCAGGCATGTCCTCAGCTGGAAGAGGCTGTGCAGGGGGAGGGCTGGGACGTGGGGCGCACTCCAGCGCTCCCCACCATCCTCCACCTTCTCCTCAAACTTTATCCACCTGCCCAGGGAGATGTGCAGGGTCAGCAGCAAGGTAGTCATGTGTCCTGTGCCAGGCAGTGGGAGCTGGACCCTGTGTCCATCTCTGAGCTTAGCATGGGGGTTTGGGGGGCCCAGAGGGGGCTGCAGTGGGTTTATGCAGCATGGGCAGGTGGGCAGCCAAGGTGGTCACATCCCCAGTCCTGCAGACCCACACCTCGCTCCAATCTGATCCAGGGGGATTTCAACAGTCATGGGATGACAAAATGGTTTGGGTTTGAAGGGACCTTGAAGCTCATCTTGTTCCAACCCCTCTACCATGGGCAGAGACACCTTCCACTAGCCTAGGTTGCTCCAAGCCCTGTCCAACCTGGCCTTGGACACTTCCAGGGATGGGGCAGCCACAGCTTCTCTGGGCAACCTGTGCCAGGGCCTCCCCATCCTCACAGGGAAGGATTTCTTCCCACTATCCCATCTAACCCTGTCCTTTGGCAGTGAGAAGGCATTCCCCCTTGTCCTGTCACTCCAGGCCCTTGTAAAAGTCCCTTTCCAGCTCTCTTGGAGACTTTTTAGACACTGGAAGGGGCTCTGAGGTCTCCCTGGAGTCTTTTCTCCAGGCTGAACAACCCCAGCTCTCTCAGCCTGTCTCCATAGCAGAGCTGTGCCAGCAGAGCTGTCCCAGCCTTTGGATCATTTCCATGGCCTCCTCTGGATGTACTCGAACAGGAGGTGGATGTGATGTCCCAGGGCAGTCTCGCTGTAGCAGAGCAGAGGGGTAGCATCCCCTCCTCACCCCACTGCCCACACTGCCGTGGTGCAGCCCGGGATACACTCTGCTCTCCGGGCTGTGAGCACACAGTGCCGGCTGATGTCCCATCTGTCACCCACCAGCACCCCCCAGTCCTTCTCCCCAGGGCTGCTCCCAGCCCACCCACCCCCTGGCTGCGCCGGGACTGGGGGTGGCCCTGCCATTAGCAGCTCTGGCTGGAGTCAGAACAGAAGTGTCTTGAGCTGTTTCCACGCTCAGGACATGCCAAATATTTTAACGCCGGGCACAGACAGAGCTTCCCTTTGTCCCGCGGGGTGGGCGCGCTGCCGCGGGGCGCTCGCCGTGCTGCACGGGGAGAGCGTGCCCGGCAGGGCAGCCGTGCGGGGAGAAAGGGGCTGGGGGCTGGGCAGAGCCACGGCCCGGCGGATTTGGCACCCCCCGCACACTCTCCGATCCCGGGGGAAGAAGCATTGCTGCTCCCAGACCCCTGTGCCCCTGCCGAGCAGAGGAGGGGTGCTGTGGGGTGCAGGACATCCCAGCCCCGGCGCAGCTGCTGGAGCCCTGGAGAGGCAGCAGAGAGGAGCAGGAGGAAGGGCGCTGTGCCCGCGCAGGGTCACTGCCCGCCCTGCCTGACACCCTGCCCTTTCCCATGAAATGAGTCAGCGCAGCGCGGGCACCGCAGCCCTGCTTTGGGGACGAGGCTGAGGAACCACCGGCTCCGGGGGATGCCCTGGGCTCCAGCTGAGCTGCAAGGCTCGGCTCCCAAAGCGTGGCCCTCGCAGGTTTGCCTACCTGGCCATCTCCCTCCACTCCAGCCCCTCCAGAGGTGCTGAGGAGCTGGTTGAGCTGGATGAAGAGCGGGGGGCAGGTGACATCCTCCCCATCCTGCCGCGGGGCAGCATCAGCTCGTCTGGCCGCTGGTGCCATCCTGGAGGGGAAGATGCTGCAGCCCAAAGCCTGTGAGGGAGCTCCGGGGCTGCTCCAGTCTGGTCTGGGTTGTGAGCAGGTCCCTGCCTCCTGGAGAGCCATGCCAGCCGCCCCGGGCATGTGGGCTCGCACAGCCACCGGCACCAGCAGCCACAGGCCTGGGTTCCCTCTGGCACTCACAGGATCCCATTCATCCCACACCTTATAAAAGCTGTGAACTGGTTTAAACTGGCCACAAACCAATACACAGGAGCCAAGCCCAAAACAGTCACCTCAAAACAGCAGGGTCAGTCCCATGGGACCCACTGTGGCTGGGTCATGACACATTCAGCTGCCCACCTAGACTGGGGACCAGGGGACCCACCTGCCTGCTCCAGGTGACCCCCAGGGACAAGGCTGTTCTTGGGGAGTAGCGTGTCCCCAGTCCTGCCTGCACCCTGCAAGGCATTGGTGAAGTGATGGCAGGGCCAGCCCTGAGGAGCTGGTGGCAGCATCAGTGACCGTGCCAGGGTGCTGTGCCCATGGCAGCTCTTCCTTAGGAAAGCAGATGTGGGGACATGTGCTGGGGAAGGATCTGGCACCGCTGATCAAATCCAGAGCAGGGGAATGAGGGTGTGATGACAAGGGCCAGGAGGGTGTCAGGGCTGCTGCCTGTGCCGAGGGCATCTGTGTGGGCTGTGGCAGGGGAGCAGATGGAAGGGAAAAGATGTGGTCACAGCTGCAGCACCCTGCCAGGGATGGGGAGATGGCAGGGCCACCATCACTGTGACAGGCCCCTCGACCCTCTGCAAACAAACCAGGGGGCTGTGTGCAGTGCAAACACAGTGGCAGGACCACAAACAGGACCACAACACCACAGCACTGGCATGGGCAGGCTGTGCTGGAGCCTGCTGGCCCTGGCAGGATCTGGCCCAGGAGCAGCTGGAGCAGGGCCAGGCACCACCCCAGCAGTGTCACATTTTGGGAGAGTGCAGAGGGTGGGCATGTGGGTCCTTGGGGTTCTGGTACCTGCCTTACAGGAGCTGAGGCCAAGGATCAGGCCCTGGGTGCCCACTAGGCTGTTTGCTCCGTGATACCAGCGGGTGCCATGGTGTGTGGAGTGGTGCCCTTGGCCGGGGTGGGGGACACAGGGAGACCCCTGGCAGCAGGACACGTGGTTGATCAATCAGGGATACCATGAGGCACACAAACCTTCCCAGGTGTTAGCCCCCCTCTCCTGTGGGGGCTGCCCCAGCGTGGCCCCCTGGCATGATTTGGGGCATGACTGGCAGCAGGTGCAGGCAGGGAGGCTGTGAGGGGCTACAGGCAGTGGGCAGGGGCCATGGGAGGCTGTGGGAGGCTGCAGGAGGCAGAGGCAGGGGGCAGGGAGCAGAGGCAGGCAGCAGAAGGCAGGCAGGATTGGCAGCCTGCACACACCCCCCACCCTTGCCCGCTGCCAGCCCTCTGTGCCAGCAGCCTCCCTGGCTGCTGACGTGAGCCGGTGCCTCCCTCTCCAGAGGTGCCAGGTCAGCTGGCAAATGCTGCCTGCACACGCCACCCGTGCACGCCTGGCCTGGCCCTGGGGATGTGACGGGGGACTGGCACGGGCAAAAATCCCATCTCCATGCAGGGACTGGGATCCAGGGTGCAGGGCTGCCCAGGGACACAGCCCCTCACCCAGGCCACCCTCTCGCTCTGCTGCCAAAGGCTTTGGGCTGCTGATGGCCGGAGGAGGCGGAAGGAAAAACATCCAGCAAACAATTGCAAAAGTCAAGTCTGAGCAAGAAGAGGAGGGCGTGAGCGGGGGGTGCCAGATCCGGTGGTATTCCTTGGAGACGCCAACAACAATGGCAGGAATATTTTGCTCATGCCTTGCTGAGCCCAAACCAGCCATGGGCTGGGGGCTTGGGACCTCGAGGAACCAGCCAGGGGCCATGGCCGGCCTCAACAGGAGCCAGGACAGCCCCTGCATTTGCCCAGAGCTGGCGTCAGTGATGTTCTTTGGGCTGTTACCTGGGCTGAGGGTTGGGCCAAACACAACACATGGTTGCCAGTGCAGTGAAGGGGACAGAGAAGTGCTGGCACTGCCCATGCACAGAGGGCTGGGATGGCGATAGGGACAGTGGCTGGCTGGGAGGGGATTGTGAGATGAGACTGTAACTCCATCAGTCACAGGGGCTCTATAGGGACACAAAGGTGGCCTTGGGGACTGAAAGGGTCTCTGCTGGCACCTCTGGCTGCCACCACCTTCCATGTGCAGGATAGGGCATAGATGGCAGTCTGTCCCCTATCAGGACCAGGAGGAGGTGCAGCCCTGACCCCTGAGGTCCTGCCTCTCACCTGATGCTCCTCTTGCGAGGTGCACTCACTCCCCTGGCATCCCCGGTCCACCCCAGGCACCCGTCCCGTCAGCCGGGGCTTGGGGCCACGGGGCACAACGGAACCCCTCTGCTCTGCCCCTGCCTGAGGTCACGCTTTACAGTCACAAGAAAAGGCTGGAAAGGCCGTGTCCCTCGGCTGCCCTCTGAGCCCTGCAGGGACCCTGCGCGCCCCAGGCTCCCACCGCCCCTCAGCATCGGGGCAGGACCTGGCCTCTCCGGGAACGAGGAGACCCCACCGAGCCCTGGCCGTGTTCCCGTCCGCGGCCGGCGGGACCCCCCCTCGGGGGCGGCGGGGAAGCCCTTCCCGGGGGCGGAGCGGCCGGGCAGCCCCTCCCCGCCCCGCCCCGCCGCCCGCAGCCTTGTACCCGGCGCGGGGCCGCGCTGCCGGAGAGCGGGCACCGCAGCGGGACTGAGCGGAGCTGCACGGGGGCTGGACGAGTGTGCCCGCAGGTCATGGACGGGCGGGCGGTGCTGATCCACGCGCTGCTGGCGGCAGGTACGGACACGCGTGGGCACGGTCCTGGGCAACGGATCCCAGTGCCGGACTCTCCTGGAGGGTCCAGGACACGTGTCGGGGAATGGTCCTGGGCAACGCGGTCCTGGGCGAGGCTGCGGTCCCGGGCGGAGGGTCCCCGGCTGTGAGCAGGCGGGAATATCGGTCCGGGTCGCGCGTGGGGAGGAGGGGGTGTTCCGGGCAGGGCAGTGTGAGTGAGTTTCCCCCTCTGACCGCTGTCCCCGCAGTGTGCTCGGCGGCGGCGGGCGGGCTGCGCCGGGACGAGCTGCACAACGAGGTGCTGCACAAGGACGGCGGAGGAGGAGGAGGGGGAGCGCCGGTCCCGGCCACGGCCCCGCTGCTCGGCGGCAGCCCGGAGAAGGAGGGCGGCGGAGCGGCCTCGGGGGACGACTTCAGCGAGCTGCCGAGAGGTAGGGACGGGACGCGGGGACCCGGCGCGGGATGGGTTGCCGGGACGGGGATGGGGTTCTGGGGCGGGCTGAGCTGGGGGTGGTTGGAGCCGGGGGGCTCGGAGGTGCCGGGCTCTGCTCAGCTCAGCTCAGCCGCGGGTGCCCCAGCGGCAGCTCCGGCTCCGCTTCGGAGGGCGCTGCGAGGTAGACAGCCCGAGTCGGGCCAGCGCATGGGGCACCAGCACAGAGCAGCGGCGCTTGTGCTAGAGGCTGTCCGGGTCCCAGGGGTCCCGGGTCCCAGCTCGTTGGTCGGTGCAGGCAGAGTCCCCCGTGGGGGCCGTGCCCGGGGACCCGCGCTGCCCTCCCGCCGTGACTCACCGCCGCCCACGGGCGGCTGCTCCTCATTCCGCGGCTGGGCTCGTCAGCCGGCACGGGGGCGGTGGGGGCACTGCCACTTTGCGGGGCTCCCGGGCACCCACGCGGGGCTCCTCCCACCCGGGCTGGCACCGGAGAGCGTCCCGGGGACTCTCATGGGGCTGGGACGGGCTGGAGGGGCTGACAGGTACCTGTACCTGTGCCTCGCACACGCGGCTCGCCGAGGGCAGTACCTGACACCAGGAGTGTGCTCTGCCCCATGCGGCTCACCCTCATGTTTTCCCGTGTTTTTCTTTGCTTTCTGGCTGTGCCAAAAAAACTGGGTTGAGCCGCTCACGCCGAGGGGGCGCAGTCCCCTGGGAAAGGCAGGTGCTGGGAGATGCTCCAGCCTGCTCCTCTGTACCCCCGAGGAGAGGACGTGTCCCAGGGCAAGCGATCTGGCAGGCCTGGGCTGATCCCCGGCTGAGGGGCAGGCTGGGAGGAACGGGAGGGTTTGGTGACTGTCTAGATGACTGTCTCAATGCCTTGAGCTGAGCTACGGTCCGAGAGATCAGCCCTTTGTGTGAAGGTACCTTTCCCGGGGTGCCTGAGCAAGGGGAGGGGGGGCAGCACCCCCTGCCTACATTGGTCGGACGGCTTTTCCTATCGGCAAGAACTTCCCAACCTTCTCTGGCTGTCCAAGGGACAGAGCCCCGGGGAGGGGGAGTGGCAGTGGGGGTGGCTGGGGGGGAGGTCAGCAGCACTGTGTGTCTGCTGGCTGTGGCCGGGAGATAACCCTCAGGGCCGGGGAAGGAACAGCCTCATCTGGGGCTTTTTCCAAGCCACAGTTTCCTGGAGTATCGGTTTTCTCCAGGCACAGTGTGAAGGATGTCGAAATAACTTCGCTAGGTGTGCAACCAGTGTGTGCCAGCATGGGAGGCCCCGGTTCCATCAGGAGCCAGGAAGTGGCTGAGAAGGAACTGGGCAGGTTACAACTTGTCAGGTTGGACTCTGCTGCCCTCTCCTTCCCGAGCAGCTTGGGGCTTAGTGCACATTTCTGGGCTCACCGGAGATATCGAGCGCTGGGGTTTGGGAGGAGCTAAAAAATCCCCCTTGGAGCATGGAGTGCTTTCTAGCATCTCAGCACCTTGTGAGATCAGGCTGGGAGCTGATTTTTTTTGGGCACCTGCACATCTTAAAAACCATTCCAGTACCATTGCCAGTGTTAAGCTGTGCCTGAGCAAGGAGCTTGATGTTCTAGTTCCCACTAACCCAGCAGGGAGCTGGCCTGGCACCAAAAGCCACTGGTCACTGCACCACAATTAAAACATACCGTTGTAATTCATGGGAACGCTTCCCTACCCACCTCTTTGGCTCTGCAAAACCAAAACTTGAGCCAGACTTGCTCTTTTAATCCCGCCTTGGGGTGAGCAAAGCATCCTTGTGCCCACGGAAAGGAGAGTCCATTACAGCCATGAATAGGGTCTTAGAAAAGCCTGCACTCATCAGGGAAATAAAGGCCAGATAAAGGGGCAATTAGCAACGTTCTGTGTTCAGTGGAAACTGGTGCATATAATAGCAGCATTTGAGATGTATAAAGCTCTGTTCCCCCTGCCCGACTCCTTTCTTTCCTTGAGAATTGTTCTTATGAATCAGAAAGGCCATGATATTTGTGAGGAGCTGAAAAAAATGCCTTTTTTCCCCTTCTCCCCCGGGCTCGGGGGCAGCTCCCGGCACAAAGGGCAGTGGGAGCCAGGGCTGAGCAATTGCAGCAGTCCTGGGATGTGGCTCTGCCTTCCCTCCGGCTGGCACGTGGAGCTGGTCTGACTGCCCTTCTCTCCTTCACAAATTGTTTTCCAGTTGCCTTCCTGTCGAAGCCTCAAGGCCTGGTTACTCCCAAGAAGAAAGGGAACGGCAATAAAAGGAGAAAAGGCAAAGGCCTGGGGAAGAAGAGAGACCCGTGCCTGCGGAAGTACAAGGATTTCTGTATCCACGGCGAGTGCAAGTACATCCGAGAGCTGGGAGCTCCCTCCTGCATGTGAGTTGCTGGCGTGTGCCTGTGCCGGGGGAGCCTTAGTCACGGTTCCTTCAATTCTCTGGGCTGGCCAGAGGAAAAACGGACAGGATATTTTTAGTGCATGTTCTCTGTCTGTGCAGGGACAGCTACGACTTGGCCTCTCCCTTGTGCTTCTTGGGCGATGTCCATGCCCCACCAAAGCCTGTCGTGGCCCCGGATCCAGCATTCCCTGCTGGCACGGCGAGCTCTGGCTGAGCCGCTGTGCAGAGAGAGGCCTGTGGTGCTGAGGGCTGCAGGATGGGGTGCAGGGCTGGGGTCTGGCAGCTGAGGGCTTCTGCAGGTCTGGTTTGCGAGACTCGTCCTGCCCCTGTCACCCTGCACCCCCCACCACGAAAGCTTAGGGCTCCAGCGGCTGTTGGGGTGCACCAGGGCAGGCGGGATGAGCTGCTGTAGCACCCCTGAGGAGGACTGGAGGTAGCACCTTTGGGGACAGCCTGCCAAAGCCATGCCCAAGCTGTCCCTTGGCCTGATGAAGGACAGGGCTGTGTCCCCCCACTGGCCCATGCCACTGGGGTGCAGATAGAGAGCAGGGACTAGACAAGGCAAGCAGAGGGGAAAGCATTTGCCTGCTGCTTGGACACCTTGATACAGGACTTACTGCCATGGGAAATACCCAGGGGTGCACATTTGATCCCCGCTTACGTGGGCAGGAGTTGAGCTGGCAGATATGTAAGAGGCTTTGTTCTTCACTATCAATCCTCTGAGCCACCAGCCCTGAGCCCAGGGAAGATAATAGCTCCCTGGCTTATGGTGCCCACAGGATCTCATGCCCTGCAATCCGCAGGGATCAAGCTCTGCATAGCTCCTCTGGCCCCCTGGTTTCTCTCTGTGGAAGCTACCATGAAGTTGAGTCCTTGCATGGGGGACTTGGGACTGCCAGTGAAGGGAGATCTCTGCCAACTCAGTTTGTGTTGGTGACCCAGCAGAATGTGGGGTGCAGAACCCCTGCCTGGGACTGGGACAGCTGAGATCCCTGGGACACGGGCAAGCAGGAGGGATTTGGGGGTTGGCTGTCCCCTGCAGCCAGGTGGCCCATTCCTGGGTGACATCTCCCAGAGCCATCATGGTTTTTAGGAACAGTGGCCAACTGTTCCTAAAGAGGCTTCGTGTTGACTGGTGTCACTAAGTTGTGGCTGCTCTGGGTGGCTGGCTGCCCGTGTCACAGGGTCTCTTGGAGTGCTGCTTCCTTGGGCTGGTCCCTGGGGATTGGGGTGGAGTGAGGATGCTGCTGGGCTGGGTCCTGCACCTCTGACTTGTGTCCAGCCTTGCTGCTGTGCCTGGGAGGTAACACTGGCATGTGCCATTATGAGCTTGGGAGGAGGGCTGGGCTAAACCCGGCTTGGACATCAGCCCGAGGGTCAGTGGTGCTGGATATAGAGGGATATATATATCTGGTCACATCAGTGGGCTGTGGCTTGGGAAGGGCTGGAAGCCTCACAGCCCTGTGGGGAGCGTTATTTCTGTTACATGAGTAACCTCCCGAGTCTGCAGGGACGGGGCACCTCTCGGCTGTCAGGGTGTGCAGGGACATCCTGCTCCATGGGAAGCACTGGACCAGCTGCCATACTGCTCCCTTCCTACTTCCAAAGGTGGTCTGGGCAGCCAGGCTCTGCCTGGGGGGGACTGGCAGGAGACAGACCCTAGTGCTGTCTGCTGGTTGAGAGCTCAACCTTTCTAGGGGTCTTTACTTGGTGCAGGAGAAACTTAATTTACCAGTACCAGGAAGAGATACTGCCTTCCAAGGGGTGTGGGGGACACAATGACCTCCTGTGCTTGCTCACCACCAACCTTTATGACTTTCCTTCTCGCCCAGATGCCAGCCAGGGTATCACGGAGAGCGCTGCCACGGCCTCTTGCTGCCTGTGGAGCACCCACCCAACGTGTACGACCACACCACGGCTCTGGCCGTGGTTGCTGTTGTCCTGTCCTCCCTGTGTCTCGTCATCATCGCAGCCCTGCTGATGCTCAGGTGAGTGGGACAGGGCTGAACTCTCAGAATCTGTGTCCCTGGGGAGATCACGTGCAAGAGGAGGGTGGCAGGGACCTCTTGCCCTGAGCATCCCTTTGCTTGGCCTCGCAGGTGTCACAAGAGGGGTGGCTACGATGTAGAAAACGAAGAGAAAATCAAGCTGGGCATCACTGTGAATCACTGAGGATGCCGGGTGCTGGCGAGGTGAGCCCCTGGCTGGGCACTGGGCAGCAGTGGGGCTGGTGGACATCTGGGGGCTCTGCTGTTCACGCTGGCTGGGACTGCTATGTGGATTCTGTGCCAGAGCCAGGCAGAAGTGTTGAAGGCAGCCTAAGCCTGGAGAAGCAGCTGGCTGGATTTGGCCAGGACTGCCCTGTGGGGCTCCAACTTTCTTTCCTTGCCTTCCTGCCCAAGTCCCTGTTCTCTGACTCCTTCGTTCTTCCCACCTCCTCCTTTCTAGCTCCAAGTCCCTGCTCTGCCCCAGTGCTCCATGCTTTGGGGATGTTAGGCAGTGAGGAAGCTGCTTCTGTTTTGTTTTTTTTTTTTTTTTCCCACTTGTTCTGCTCCCTCTCTGACCCTCTGAGTCACTTCCCCTCCTTAGATATTGCTTCTATTTATACATATGTGTAAAAAACCCCTTTCCTTTTCACTCCCACTCTGCTTATTACTTGCAGCAGAGCAAGTAATGCTCTTGTAGCTGGGCACAGGAGGATCTTGCTGCCAGCCCATGCCATGTTCTTCTGGCTGGCTGGGTAGTGAGTGAGGGGTGCGCTCTACCCCAGGGGTGGCTGCAGGGCAGGGTGCTGAAAAGCTGTCAAACTTCCTCTGGTCTGATCCAAAGCCTGACGTTAGATGTGGCCACGCATATCACAGCTCCTTCTCTTCTTAAAAAAAAAAAAGAAAAGTCATTGTTCTTTGTAAAGATGAAGTAATGCCTTCGGAGAATTTCTGTCATGTTCATCACAGTGCTGGGAGTGGGACTTTGAGCTGTTCATCGCAGCTGAATTTTTGGGAAGGACAGGGCTTTGCTCACTGTCCCATTTGCCCTGGGGGTTACTGGGGTGGACGTGCCCAGGGGGAAAAGTGCTGTGGTCCCTGGAAGGGTAGCACGGTGGGTACAGGGTGGGATGTTTACCCACCTCTCCTGAGCATCCTCCTGGGATGTCTCCCATCCTCCTGGGCACAGCCCGAGGGGCAGTGAGTGGCAGCTGGGGCTTGGGTGGGTGCGAGGGCTCTCCTGCCGGGCTGGGTGGGACCCAGCACCTTTACCCCACCGTGCTCTGTGGGCAGAGCAGCCCCCAGGACCGTGTTGTGAGCTCTCCCGCCTCTCTCTTGCAGGGGTCGGCACTAACAACGCACTTCTACCTCCTGGGAGAGGCGAGACCAGCGGGGCTGCGGCACGTCGGGGGCTCGCTGGAGCACCAGGACGGCAGCCGCGGCGGGGCCGCTCGGGCAGCGGCGGCACTGCAGGAGCTTCGTGGCCACCTCCGGGGACGGGGCGGGCTCGGGGGCGGGAGGGACCGGCTGCCCGTGCCGAGGAACAAGCTGTGAAAGGGAGGAGACACCGGGCTCGGGGCTTCCTTCGCCGCAGGAGGGTGTGGGGGGGAGGGTAACAGCTATTTAACAAGATATTTTTCATTTTAAATTATATATTTATTTTAGATAAACTGTACATAGTATTTATATTTATTGTTGGTCTGGCCCTGCGTCCTTCGTGTAGGTTCAAGATGACAGGGGTCAGACCTCCCTTATTTTTTAAGTGCAATGTAATATTCTAATAAATAACACTTTGTAACAAATGCTTGAGTTGTTAATTTAAAGGCTGAGGTGGAAAGGATTCAGGATTCTGAAGGCCTTGCTGATGGGGTACTGTCAATAGCAGCAGAGAGTGTGCAGTGTGGGCTGATGGATCAGCTGGTGCCATCCCTGGGGAGCAGTGTGCTCTGAGGAGCTGGGGCAGGATCCATCCTCTGCAGCCAGTTGAGTTTTGTTTTGTTTTGTTTTTGAAATTTGCTTCATCTTTACCAGCTGATGCCCTGGGAAGGGTGTGATGTTTGTGTGTCTGCTCACCAAGCAAAGCTGCTTCCAGTGTGAGTGAAGCCACTCTGGCTGCTGATCCATTCAAATGGGATTGGTTCCTGGTTTTAAGCCAGCACAAGTTGCCCAAGGAAGCTGTGGCTGCCCTATCCCTGGAACTGTTCAAGGCCAAGCTGGATGGGACTGGGAGCAACCTGGTCTAGTGAAAGGTGGACTAGATGATCTTAAAAGTCTCTTCCAACAAATGATTTGGTGAAGAAGCCAGAGGTGGACTCACACCTTCCCTGTAGGGGATCCCAGCTGTCCCTGGGGCCACTGCAGGCTCCTGGGGCTGGAGTCATTCCATCCACAAAGCATCACTTCAGATGATGGTTCAGGAGCGATTCGTGACTTTGCAGTAAAAGTAACCCTCAAACCCACTTCTTTCCTCTTCCCTGGGGGGAGCTGAGATTAGGGAGAGATGCTGGCTCTGGTACAGAGCTTAGAGGCAGCCCCTGCAGGTGTGAAACTCTGGTCAGCAAAGGGGAGAGCTGAGCTGCTGCTTTCCACCCCTCCTACAGTGTGCACTAAAGCCAAGCAGTGAGTGCTCTGCAGAGCTTTTTGGACTAATTTACCCAAACTTGAGCTTTGGCAAAGTATGAAACAACCCCTCCCCCTGTGAGCATAAAGGGTGCTTAGAAGGTGTGTACGCTCATCCTTTCTGTGCAGCTGTTTCTTGTGGTGGCAAAGCCTGGTCTGTGGGAAGGGGGAACACAGCAATAGTTGATATTTCCAGAGCTTGTTGTGATGAGGCTGAAGGACACAGCTGTGACCAAGGGGGAGTGACCACAGTGTTACAGACTGGAGCGTTAAAGCCTCCACAGCTGCAGTGACCCAGTCCCCGAGCCAGGGAAACAGGTTACTGACTGCAGATGTGACTCTCTGTGCTGTGGTGATGCCAGTTTGACCAGAGACTCCAAACTTTGGTCCTTTTCAAAGTCTGTTAAGCAAATAATGTCTTTGGCTGCTGTGCAGGAGGCCCTTCTGCCCCAGGGCTGCGTTCCTGCCTCACTGTGCTGCTGCTGCTTCTTCTCACCTTCCCAGAGCTGCTGTAGCCCTGCGGCTTTTCTGCCCTTCCCAGTGGACAGCTCCACTTGCCTGGGGCTCCACAGCATCCTGGTGGGAATGCCAGCTCTGCTGGAGAGCTATCTCAGCAGATAGTTGGAACTTTTGCCCAGAGCCCAGCTACTCTCTGCCCTCCTCCTGCCCCACAGGGACATGTCCAGCCCCTGTGCAGGCTGGGCTGCCCACGGTGGGGATTTAACAGGGCAAGAGGTGGCAAACATTCTTTGGAGATGCAGGGAAGCCGGCTGGATCAGTGGGCTGGCTCCCTGTGCCCCACTGGGCTAAGAAAGGTTGGCAGTCCTAGAGATGCTCCCTTTTGTTCCTCTTACTGTCCAGCATCTTTGTCTGAGACACAGACAATGGATTAAGGGCACCCTCAGCAAGTTTGCTGGTGACACTGAGCTATGTGGTGCAGTCACCTGCTGGAGGGAAGGGATGGATCCAGAGGGATCTGGACAGGCTGGAGAGGTGGGACCATGTGAACCTCATGAAGTTCAACAAAAGGTAAATGTAATGTCCTACACCTGGGTCGTGACAAACCCAGGCACAGCAACAGGTTGGGGGGAGAAGGGATGGAGGGCAGCCCTGTGCAGAAGGACTTGGGGGTGATGGTTGATGAAAAGCTCAACATGAACCAGCAGTGAGCGCTCACAGCCCAGAAAGCCAGGGGGATCCTGGGCTGCGTCCCAAGGAGTGTGGCCAGCAGGTCGAAGGAGGGATCTTCCCCCTCTACTATGTACAGTTCTGGTGTGCCCAACGTAAGAAGGACATGGAGCTGTTGGAGCAAGTCCAGAGGAGGCCACTCTGGGCATTGATAAGGGCATTGGGGCACCTTCCCAATGAAGACAGGCTGAGAAATCTGGGGCTGTTCCGCCTGGAGAAGGGAAGGCTGAGTGGAGACCTCGCAGCACCTTCCAGGATCTGAAGGGGTCTATGGGGAAGTCGTGACGGGACTCTTTATCAGCAACTGTCCTGACGGGACAAGAAGTAACGGGCACAGACCGAAAAAGGGGAGATTTAGGTTAAATACACAGAATAAATTGTTTATCGTGAGGGTGGTGAGGCCCTGCCACAGGTTGACCAGGGAAGCGGCGGCTACCCCACCCCTGTAAGCGTCCAAGGCTTGGAGGGGGCTTGGAGCAACCTGGCCTGGTGGAAGGTGTCCCTGCCCACGGCGGGGCGACGGGACTAGGTGGTGTTTAAGGTCTTTAAGGTCTTTTCCACGGCAGGGACGGATTTGTACCCCCCGGGACGGCCCCGGCCGGTCCCTCAGGAGCCGCCGGCCCCGCCCCTCGCCCCGCGCATGCGCCCTGCGGGGACAAGATGGCGGCGCCCGTGGACCTGGAGCTGAAGAAGGTGCGAGACCCCCGCCCGTGTGTGTGTCCCTCTCGTGCCCCCCACCGCCTGTTCCCCCGCCTGTGTGCGCTCCCACCCGTGTCCTCCGCCCGCGTGTATCCCCCCTGTCCGTGTATCCCCGCCCGCGTGTGCTCCCACCCGTGTGTGCGCGTCCCTCGTGTCCCCCCACCACTTGTGCCTCCCCCCCGGGTTCCTCCCACCCCCTGTGTGTCCCCTCACCCCGTGTGTGTCCCCACCGTGTGTCCACTCCCCGCGCGTGTGTGTCCCCCGTGTTCCCTGTGTCACCCCCCGACCCGTGTGTCGTCCCCCATCCTTGTCCCCCCCCACCCGTGTCACCCTGTCCGTGTGTCCCTCTCTGTCCCCCTAGCCGTGTGTGTGTCCCACCTGTGTGTATGTGTCCCACCATATCTCCCGAGCCCTGTGCCCCCACCCGTGTTCTCCTCCCTGTGTGTGTCCCCACCCGTGTCCCTTCACTGTGTGTTCCCCTACCCATATGTGTGTCTCGTGTGTCCCCTCACCCACGTGTGTGTCCCACTGTGTCCCCCCACCCATCACGTGCCCTCCTCCTTGTGTGTTCCCTCACCCATGTGTGTCCCCCACTGTATCTCCCCACCCGTGCGTGTCTCCCCTGTCCTCGCTCCTTCGTGTCCTTCCCAACGTGTCCCCTCGGCTGATCCCCTCCTTCTGGACATCCAAGTTGTGCCCGCCTGGACACCCCTCACTCCACCTCTGTCCCCTGGCCAGGCCTTCACGGAGCTGCAGGCCAAGGTGATGGACACGCAGCAGAAGGTGAAATTGGCCGACCTGCAGATCGAGCAGCTCAGCAAGACCAAGAAGCACGCCCACCTCACCGACACCGAGGTGATGATGCTGGTGGACGAGACCCGCATGTACGAGGGCGTGGGAAGGATGTGAGTACCCGCTGGAGAGGGGCTGACCCCGGCTCTGTGTGTGGGCAGAGGGGATCCCAAATTCGGGAAGGACAGTGGAGCGGGTCCAGAGAAGGGCAGTGGAGCTGGGGAAGGGTCTGGAGCACCAGGAGTGGCTGAGGGAGCTGGGGGAGCTCAGCCTGGAGAAAAGGAGGCTCAGGGGGACATTCTCTCTTTCTACAAGAGAATGGAGCCATTCTCTGGGGTCTGCTCCCAGGAAACAAGGGACAGGACAAGAGGATGTAGTCTTAAGCTGCACCAGGGGAGGTTTGGTTTGGACATCAGGAAGAATTTCTTCACAGAAGGGGTGATTAGACATTGGAATGGGCTGCCCAGGGCAGTGGGGAAGTCACCATCCCTGGAGGTGCTTGAGGACGTGGCACTCAGTGCTCTGGTCTGGGTGACAAGGTGGTGTTCAGTCATAGGTTGGACTTGATGATCTCAAAGGTGTTTTCCAACCTAACTCTGTGATTCTGACAGGTCACAGGACACAGCCCCCCAGCCTGTGTCTGTACGAGGCCTCCAGGCTGCTTCCCTGGGCAGGATCTCTCCCCTTCCCAAGGAGCACACACCTTTCTCTCAGTGCCTTCATTTGTTTCCTTTTTCTCTTTGTCTTCCATTTTCAGTTCCAGCAATCTGCCTGGGAGTGCAGTGAGGCTTACTGGGCATTCCCTCTTGGGGTTAGTACTGGCTGCTCCTGGAGAAGGGCTGTTATGGATGATATTGCCTTTGTGTGGTTTTGCTTGCTGGCTCAGCACCCAGCCCTGATGCTCCACTCAGGCACCTCTGGGAAGTTTGTAGTTTTAACTAGCAGAGCAGCACTCTGATGCCAAACAGCATTCATGAGAAGGCTCTCACAGATCTGTCCAGAGTCAGGAATTTCCTGTGTGCACCCCCTGTGCACGGTTCGTGTTCTACAGAAATGCCCTTTGCAGAGCCGTGCCGAGGAATGGATCTAATGCCATTGCTTGGATATTTTCAAACCTTTGGAAGTGAGCATGAGGCTTGTGTGGGTACTCTCAGTGCACTAAAGATGTGCTTCATTTGTTAGGTGGCTGTCAAAAGAAA